ATAGTAACCTTTCAACCTGATCCAATAATATCATTATAACATTATTTATTAAATCATAAGCTTAACAAAATTTAACATTATTTATTAAATCATAAGCTAACAAAAATTTAATAGCTATGGTAATTAATTAGTTAAGTGGTTTAAACTCGTTTTAACAAACACAACTAAATTATAAATTTCTACTTTATTTAGATTCGACCATCTTAATTTCTAACTAATTAATTCCAATTCATCCTCTACATTTCGATTTATTGACCAATTATTCTAAATGGACTTAATTACTAGATTTTCAACATTAAGTGTATTTAATTAGGTATCGAATAGTGATTTTAATTATACGTACTCAACCTAAATAAATCCACAATTTAATAACATTGAATCCTAAGTTCGAATCTCCTAAAAATCCTCCAATTAAGTTCAAAAAAACTCAACCTAATACTTCAAAGTCCTTCGATTAAATATCTATTTTTCAAAATTAACAAAATTAGCCAATAAATTTAAATTTGAAATTTTATACCCAAAAATGGAGAAAAATAGGGTCTTTAGGGCGTATCATCGAAATCGAGCAACAATTCCAAAAGAGCAGCACGAGAAAAGAGCATTTTCTGCCTCTAGGGGTTCTCGTCGGCCAGTCGCGGACAACCGCTGCAGCCGGTGCACGGTGGTTCAAAATGTCGAACTTACCGCTGGAATCGGGCGATTTCTAACCACCATCAGGCTCGAAATTCTATTAAAGAACAAAAACCAGCGTCAATTCATTGGAGTTACTGCCTCAGTGGGTTAGGAAATAGCTTCGATAGTCATTTATTCCTCCCTCCACGCACGATTGCTCCTTCAAAACCTCGGTGGAAATCTGGAATTTATAAATGGGATTTTAACTCCCATGCCGTAGAGAGTCGATTGGCGCTTGTCCTCTTCCTCTGGGGACCACCGGAAACGGCGTGGGTCACCGAAAATCGAAAGAAGAGAACTGTCGAGAGGAGACGACTTGGCGTCGTGCCCCAGCAGCCCCATTCTGGTGAATGATGGCCGGAATGTAACTGAGCATGAAGGAATCTCGACTGCCACTTGCTTTCGTCGTTTGGTGGCTGGAAAACAAGGAAGGGAGAGCAGGGAGCCGCGCTCGGCACGCCCGCGGAAGAAGGAGAGAAAAAAAGAAAGAAAAGAGAAGGCGTTCTTAGAGAAATTCTGGGGCCATTTCGGTTCGATTCGAATCGGTTTGCTCCAATTTCAAAGATTTGGCCCGATTTTGGTTTGCGTTTTCGAGTTTTTCGCTTAGTTTTCGAAACAATTCAGATTGATTTACGAGGTCTATTTAGTAATAATAAAAATTATTTTTCCCATTTGATTCATTGGTTCAGTTTTATGATTATATTTTTTAAATGACAAATTTTTGGAAAAGTATTTTCTTGGATCGTTTCATATATATATAATATATAATAGATATCCCACATAATTATCCTCGGTATATATATATATATTTAATGAGTTTTAATCTTTCTGTTTTCATATTCAAACAATAAATTTTCTGCAAAAGTACTTCTTAATAAATAATTAATAAACTTATATTTATTCTTTATAAAATAAGTTATAGGAAATAATTAATAACTCAATCAAATTCAAGATATTAAACGTTTAGAGTTCAAAAAGAATAGGTTACAAGAGATTTTTCGAAATCATGAAAAAGATTCTTTATTTTTTTTATCTATTCAATTATTTCTAACTTGAATAAAAATTATAAATTAAACATATTTTATCTATCAATATTTCTAACTTCGAATAAAAATTATAATTAAACATATTATATTTTTGCTATATTTAATATGTACCTTATATAATATAATATAACCAATCAAAATTAGATTATCTTTATATTTTCAACTAATAAAATTAAAATTCTTAAAGATATTACATTCTTACCATGTTTAATATATACCTTGCTTTAGTATATATATAATGTAATTTCTTAGTTTATTCAATTAAACAGGAAAATAATATACTAATTAAAATTAAATTATCTTTATTTTTTCAACAAATAAGATTAAAATATTTACGATGTTATACTCATACCATATTTAATATATACATAGTATAATATATAATATAATTTCTTATTTTGTCCAATATAAATTAGTTTTAAATAAAAAATTAATATTCCCAATAAAAAAAATTCAATTAACTTATTTTTTCAACCAATCAAATTAAAATTTTTAATGATATCTTTATCAATCCTTTAAACTTAGGCTCCATTTGTTTCCGTAACATAACTTGCTGAAAAATATTTTCTTTGAAAAAAATATTTTTCAAATGACTTATTTTCCATTATTTGGTTGTAATATTGAAAATTAGTTAAAAATATTAAAGTATTTGTCTTATAAGACCATAAAAATATTAATAATAATAGAAATTTTGTTGTTAAAAATGAAAAGAATGCAAAAAATATATAAATTATGAAAGATGCCAGTGTCCGGTGGTTGGTGGCCGATGGTGGTGGCTGGTTGTAAATTGTGACTGGTGGTAGTGACTATGATGATTAGTAAATTAAAAAATATGAATTTATAAGGTTTGCCAATATTTGAAAAATGTTTTACTCTCTCGAAAATGGAAATTGTTTTCCTTAAAAAATGACTTAATTTTCCTTTCACCAGGAAAAGACTTATTTTCTTGAGCGCCCCAAATAATGAAAAATTGTAGAAAATATTTTATTGCAAGTTATTTAACAGAAACAAACAAAGCCTTAGTAGGAGCGTTTTTTACAATCCATCGTTCTTTTATCTATATTCCCACGTTTATATATATTATATCAATAAATATATATAAATTATATATAGATATAGAATAGATTATAGATAGAAGATAAATTAGGAGGCTTATATAATAATAATAATAATAAAAAGATAGATTAGAGGGTTCAACCGATTGAAAGAACATTATATGTGGGCTAGAGGGATAAATTTTTTTTTTTTATGATTGAGATATCTTGAACCTAAGACCTTCCATTTTCTATATAACTAAAAAGAACGACCATAGGTTGGCTTATATATTTCACATTTTATCGAACCAAAAGACTTCGTAATTATATAGATAAGAAGAAACCTTAATTAATTCCATTATACTTTTCTTATAGAGAAATTAATTAATAATAATTCATCAATTTGACCCCTAGTAAATTGGACGTGAAAATGAGGGCTCCAATATATATATATAATAATAATAATAATAAAATAATATAATAATATAATAAGTATATTAATAATTTTCAGCCATTTTTATATCTTCCCTAATCATTTCTTGCTTATTTGTTTAAACATTATTGTTGTAGTCCTGCTTAAGAATATAATAATAATAATAATAATAATAGTATATATAATAATTTCACCATTTTTATATTTCTATCATTATCTGCTTATTTGTTTAACATTATTGTTGTAGTCTGCTTAAGAATAAAATATATTCCATAAAGGTATTTTATTCTAAGATAAAGTAATTTATTTTTCATAGGTTAACAACTCTTAAAAAAGAGGAATGATTAATTATAAATTGATATTTCATCATTAAATATGTTGTGGTTTGTTTGTACGTTTTGTTTATATTTTGATATTATATAGTTATTATGTTTTACTTAAAATTACACATTGCATGATTTTTCTATATTCTAAATAGTACGTGAAAAAAATAAATGTAACTTTTACGATTATTTTTATTTTATTTTTTTAAAAGGGACAATCATTTGTATTTTTTTTTTTTTTGAAAAGGGACAATTATTTGTATTTAAACACTTCTAAAAGCTTATAAAACCATGGACATCGAGTAAAAATGAAAAAAAAAAAAAAAACACATAGCTGAATAGAAAAATAAAATAAAATATTTAAAGATAACTATAATTTTGTTTTAAATTATATCATTAATTTAGTGAGTTATTAGAAAGTTGCTTCCTATTGTATAGCCTGTCACATTATTTCAATCCGTCAGACTTTCTAACGAAATAAAAAAAATTTAATAATACTACATTACATATCATTAGTAATCAGAAAAAGCCTAAACTTAAAAATTATTAACTTGATTTATATGAATAATTGAATTTTTATAAGTGCATGGCATAATGGATTGAATATAATCTGCTATTAATATTATCCCTAATCACTTAATAAAATATTAATATAATTAATTATTTCATTACTTTTGGTAAGACTAAGATAAAATTATATATAATAAAGATTTGGGCCCAACTTATGTCTGACTAGGTCAACAAAAAAGTGGTAAAAAATTCTATTATTGTGATGCTTTATTTGTTTGGTGAAAAATATTTTTTAAAACATAATTTATTTTTTTATTATTTAATTAAAAAATATTTTTTTCAGAATTTTTTCAAAAAAAAAGTTTTTTTAGAATAATTATTTGATTACAATACTAAGGTTGAATAAAAATCATTCTTTCACACTTGGATTGAGTATATTGAAAGAATTAATTTCATTTACTATTTAAGAACAAAAATAGTTAAATGTATAAGAATTTTGTATTTTATATTTTTGGTGCAAAAAAACATACATAAATATGACAAAACACATAAAATTTCTCTCCAAATTAGGGAGAAAATAGAAATAAATTAGTGGAGGGAAAATAATTTCATTTTGCTTATATATATATAGAAGGAAAATAGCATTCTTTTTTTCAAAATATTTCTCTTCCCTTTACTTTTTCCTCTCTAATTGCTTTCCTTCCTTTTTTTCTTTCTTGACTAATAAAGGAAAGTTATGGTATTGGTTAAGAAACAGTTGCAGCAACTTGCAAGTAAAATTTCGCCATTAATAGTTGAAGATCGAAAATTTTGTATATGAACTGCGAAAAGCAACAAATTAATGCAAAACGACAAAACTAAAAGGAAAGGAAAAAAAATATAGCAGAAAAAGTTAAGAAGAGCCTCATAAAAACATCATCTTTCTCTTCAATTTGCACATTCAATATTCCATTCCCTCTCACAAATTTCCAACTCATACCACTACCCACGCTTGGGAGTTTGGTATTCCAATATGAGCTACAGAGAGAAACAGAAATGAAATAAAATAAAAAATAAAAACAAATATGAAGACCTTTTAGGGAGAGAAATATGGTTGAGATGGTTTGGTTGTATTTGCCACTGAATTAACCTTTTTATGGGACCGTGAAAATCCTTGTGCCTCAAAAACTACTGGTGGGTCATTCTTTGCCTTTGAGGTCCTACTCTCCACTTGTTGGTCTTTGCTGTCTCTGCTACTGTATCTGTTACCTCTTTCTAAATTAACCCCTCTTTCTTGTTAGTACTACTATCGCTTCTTCTCTCTTTTCTATGTGTTCTCTATCTTGCCTTATTAGTCCAAACTAAAGATCTAATCTTTTGCCTACCTGGGTATTCATTTTATTCTTGTTCTAGCTAATAAAGATCATATATTTATTGTGGTACTGAGTGTAGACTTTTGCATGCATGAGAGAATTGTATATGTTCTGAGTTTGAATTTTGTTTATTTGTGTTATCTTCAAGGTTAAGATTGTTGTTTTTCTGTGAAAGGAAGGTTGTATCTTTCAATTCAAGCATCTGGGTATTCTTGACACTGTCAAAGCTGTGTTAGGTATTGCTTGAAGTCATTCTTTTGGCTATTGGATTTGATGGGTTGATTCGGGCGGTCACTTTTGGGGTATTCGAGGGAAAGGAGGCTTTTTGAATTGGTTGAAGTTGTTATTCTATTTTCAGCGACTAAGATTTCATGCATGGTCCAAGACAATGGAGAGGTTTATGGCCAGATTTTTATTTCTTTAGCATTGAATACTTTAAAAGCAATTTAGTGAAATAATATGAAGAACCTGCTTAAGAAGCTCCATATCATGTCCAATCAATCACAAGATGCAGATGGGTCAAATTCATCAAGGGGCAACAAGCCGACTGATATATCTTCTTCCCCTGATAGGCTTTTGTCTTCTAAATCCCATGAACATAAACCCTTTTCAGGTATTTCTAGTTGGTTGAATTCTGTTGCTAATAGAAAAAGTCCTAGTCCACCATCTTCTTCAAATGTGACTAGAGCAGACAGAACAGAACCATCTGATTCAATTAGTAGTAGTGGTGGCTTGGATGTTGTTTCCGATGCTGTGAGGAGGGATTCAGGGTCTAATACATCCAGGGATCCTGATGTTGAGGAGGAATATCAGATTCAGTTGGCTTTAGAAATGAGTGCAAGAGAGGATCCTGAGGCAGTTCAGATTGAGGCTGTGAAGCAAATAAGTCTTGGCTCTTGTGCCCCTGATAATACTCCTGCTGAAGTTGTTGCTTATAGATACTGGGTAAGTTTTCCTATATTCATTTGACCTCCTTAATCTATTCAAACTATGATTTTTATAAACTGAACACTAGGAAGGACACTTGTATAAAAACATTTCCTCAACTGTTGACGTTTAAGGCAATTCCTTTATAATCTAAGCATTAAGTCTACTTCTATATGATGAATGTATATTATGTGGTGTATGGAAATGTACATTTGGCTGGAACATGTTCGTTTAATTGTTCCAGAAATGCTTTCTGAGTTGCCAACACATTTCTGGAATTATTTCAGTACGATAGCACATTGGATTGCATTTGATATGATGGTATTTCGGGAGAGATTATTAAAGAGGTAAATAAATGGAGAAGTAGTTGAAGAGGTAAAGAAGGATTTTATAATTTTGACAAATGGTAGACCATATAGTCCTAAATTGAGCTAAATGAAGGACAAGGATCCATGTAACCAGCCTTAACTAGAATGATATTGAGCATTTATGGATCAAATGGAGTTATGCTCAAACAGGGGGAATGTAGTTGGGCCTGTGCACACTTACAAGTCTGACTGTCCTTGTTCTACATTTCTGTACAAGTAACAAAAGAAAATCGAACTGTCAAAATGTAGTATCAGTCTTGTGACTTCATAGTTGCCACCATTACTGCTCTGTATTGGCTTTGTAACATTGATTTCAGCCAGTTAGAAACTAGAACTAGTGGCATAAATCATGAAGGGTAACCACTTACAAAATCTGGGTGGACACATTTGAAAGAACAAAGCAGATGGGAGGTTAAACAATTAATGAGTAACAGAATCTAGTATTTGGCTTAGTGGAAATTAAAAGTGGAGGAGCAGCATGTTAAATCCTCTTTACCTTAGATGTTTTGTGTGAAGCTATATCTGTAAAGATGGGACAATTTTTGATGCTTGACCCTGTAGTTTACTCATCCATGGATCTCTCTTAGCATTTGAAATTGTTCATTTCAAATCAAGTTTTATGCTTAAGTTTTAATGATATCTATTGTCAAAATGAGGCTGTCACTTTGGTCAATACTGTTAGAATCTCCTTTATTTGGCTACTCAATTTCTCTTTGGCTCCATCATTTATGGTTAAAGTAGTATGTACAAAAATTAAATGATCTAAGATTTTGTATTAGTAGAGTATCCATTATCAAGAAAGTGTCTGATGGTGTCTGTACTGGGATATGGAAAATATGGCTTTGACTTGTGTGGTAATGGGGAAAAAGGATTCATGTAGACCAGCATGTATTATCAAATTTCAAGAGTTGGCCTCGTGTTACTGGGAATCAACTAGCAAAATATTTATTCTTGATTTGATTGCCTTCTTCTAAGACTGAATAATCCAACAAAGTAACCAGTGCATGTTTTATGAATTCAACCTTTTCTACTGCTTTGAAATTTAATATCTCCTTTGGAATCTTGTGTGGGGGAAGCCATACAATCTCTTGAGTCTTGACTTCAGAGTTTGTCACAAAAAAGTTGCTGTGAGGCGAAGCAATTGGTTAGCTAGTTGCGCCTAAGTTGATTCATTTACATAATTTCTCATCTTTGACATGTAGCTGTGATATCGAATTTGAGCTTAACAGGATATTTTATATGATATACTTCAGAATTATTCCTTCATTCGACACTCTTTCCTCAAACTTACTTTATCTTGTGTTTATTCCTTTCTAACCAATCTCATATCGTAGATTTATCCATGCTTCACAGAATTACAATGCTCTTAGCTATGATGACAAGATCATGGATGGTTTTTACGACCTTTATGGAGTTTTGACCGAGTCTACATCAGAAAGAATGCCATCTCTAGTTGATTTGCAAGGAACACCAGTTTCAGACTGTGTCAGCTGGGAAGCAGTGCTGGTGAATAGGGCTGCTGATGCTAATTTGTTGAAGCTTGAACAGAAGGCACTTCAGATGGCCTTCCAATCTAGGTCTGAAACTCTAGTTTTCACAGAGAGAGCATTTGTGCGAAAGCTTGCTGTTTTAGTTTCTGAGTACATGGGAGGATCAGTTGCAGATCCTGATAACATATCAAGAGCATGGCGAAGTCTTAGCTACAGTTTGAAAGCTACACTTGGTAGCATGGTTTTGCCACTTGGTTCTCTTACAATTGGATTGGCTCGTCATCGGGCATTAATGTTCAAGGTATTTCACTTTTATTTACTATTATTTTACATTTGTACTGCCAGATAAATAGAGTAGGATGCTACCATGGCATTTATTAACATGAAGCTTTTAGAGGCATATTTGAAATTTGTTTTAGATGACCTTAACAAATTTATCTGACTGAATGTATCAGTTTTCTGTGTTTGTGCACATGCTAAGCATATCATTTCATAGCTTCTTTCTGCTTAGAAATCTTCTAATACTTGTTATCACCATGCCTTGCAAATGAAATGATAACCAGACACAAAGATGTGTCACAGCTAAAGTGTAGCAGTTGCAGCTGATGTCACTATGAATTTCTTAAATAGATTAGCAAGATGGTTCAAACCAATATTGTTTATCAATTTCTGCTTACCAAGTTCATTAATTTTGTTTTAGCATAGGGGCTCTGGAACATTGCTTTTCTCAATGTTCATTCGTCTTCAAGGGAATAATATATTCTATGCCTACCGACATGTCGATGTGGTTTTGTAATCCTGTATTTCTCTGCTTTTGTTTGTATTGAGTTATCTGATTCACTTCCAAGGTACTTGTCCCAAATTTAAACCTTGTTTGTCAATGGGCAATTCGAATTTCCCTAACTTGACCTTTTCAGCCAACCATGGTTCTTGGCTGAGTTGGCGAGGCATTTGTTTACTCTTTTTCTTATGCATCATCCTCGGAATTACTATATGACATGAAGTGAAGGACTACATGATATGGGAGCTTCCTGCATAATGTTATCACCACTGTTCTTGAGGGACTGAATTTGACAATATCAATGAATAGATTCATATTAAAACAACCCCCTTGACATGCTCCTGCTTATGACAATAATGCCCGAACCATGAATGTCATTATTTCTCCATCTGCAAATGACAACATGCACTAGGAGGAATACTATAGCTTGTACAGTGATTTTAAAAACTCCCTTTATATTTGTGAAGAAGAAGAATGAGAGGAAATATTGACTTGATTATTCCCTCAAGAATTGGGGATATAAATAGTACTACATATGTACAATATAGGTAACTAATCAAGGATTCCAAATAATCTGCTGAGATCCCAAATAATCTGCTAATGATACGCTAATTATAGCTCCTAATCTCAGCAGCTAATTACAACTAATTACAGCTGTAATACAGCTAAATACGGTAGCTAATCATAACACTCCCCCTCAAGCTGGAGCATACATGCCACCTCTATATACTTGATACCCTTTTCTAAGTCACACAAAAATATATCCCATTAGGTTTTCTTCTAACTGCTTGAGTTTGGAGAACACTCGAGCCAGGGCACACTATTTAGAGCATATTAACCAGCTCATAACCACCAATTTATTTATTATTTTCGCCGTTAAGAAGAAGCTTCAATCCCTTCACCTCGTTGGATTACTCATATGAAATCAGACATCGATAATTCGTAACTATATACATTAGGCGTATTGACTATGCAAAAATGGGGGACTATCTCCTATTTTTCCCCACACTGCCCAAATATTTTGCTCACATATCACCCTCAAGTTAACCTATCATGTGAGTCCCTGGATTGTATTTTTTCGGCCACTATATAATGACATTAATTTACTATTTCACATAAGCTATATGAGGTAGTATCCACATATATCTAATGTCCATATAAAACACGTAATCCCGCATTGACATGCTGCCTCTATGCAATGAGATTAAGTCCCCAGACGAGTTAACACTAACCTATTTGAAATTCAGTTCCATTAATTCCATAATTCCACCTATTCCTGCTCTATATTCGCGCACCAAAGTCTCACCTAGAGGAATTATGTTCTCATATCCATCTTTTAGTTCCTCTGACATTATAGTTTGCCTATCGCAGTACACGGTCGAAAAATTTTATATAAAATCTCACCCCACTATGATTTAATGTAAGTTTTGTTTTGAAAGCGCCAACAGACCAATCACAAGAAATGAGAGGAATTTGACTTTGATTTAAATTCTAGATTAGGGGGATATAAGGATGATCGTATCTAGTGGCAAATTCAGATGTCTACATACACTATACGGTTCGAGAGTAAATCCAAAGAGAGAAAAATTTCACCACAAAATAAATCTGGACATGAGTTCACTTCTTGTATGCCTCCCAAAAATAATTTGGCCCCCACATGATACAAGAAAATTGCGACCCTTACATCTATCATGGTCCTACCAAAAAGATCCCATACCCCATGCCCCACTGGGTCCCTATATTAAAGCCAAAACCTAATAATTTATCTAACATAATGGGCTCTACAAAATAACACTTTATCATCCCACTGTCTATATATACACTAATCGGCACGAACTTTCAATTACATACGACAAAACCACTTAGGGAGGCCCCACCCTCAACACATCACTCAAAAGAACGAGAGTAGCATGAACGATAAAGAGTTGTATATGTTCCTAGCTTGACCGCACAAGTGATCAGATTAACAATATTCGGACGAGTCCTCCCTCTCAGTGTCAAGATTCCTGCGCTCAGGTTATACATATCTTTCATCGCCACAATCCAGGAATTCGTTAACCTTACGAGCTCTGATACTAACTTTGTCACAAACCCAAAACCATGGGCTAAGACTGGCACTAGGCCACTGACACACGGAGTAGCATTGCATCCTGACTCATCCTTCCTTGTAAGCCCGTGATGCACTCGACTAATAATAGTACCAGCCCTAATCTCTCATCATGCCATATTTTCTGATTTCCCGTTTTCTTATATACCTCAAAGATGTATATATTTGGTGTGATTTTATGGGGCGAGAATATAAGATAGTAGCCGTCCGCCTCAATATATGTGTGAACGTTGTTATCATTAAATTATCCAATAGCTTGGGTTATCTTGTTTTTTAATTCTCCACACTTTCCTAAACTCTTGAAAGAATAACGTTGCCCTCCGAGCCAATAAACAAGGTTTCACACACAAAGTTGGCTTAAATGCCACTGAAGCTCGATACCTGCCCTTGTCTTTCTGCGTTCCCCATTGACCTAGCCCACAAACATCTTGTTTTTAACCTTTTCCATGATATCAAATTTCCTATCAGGTAGCAATATCCAAGATAGTTGATCGTTTAATGTCAAGATGGGAGAACCTGCCCATAATCTGCTTCTGAATTAAGCAACCAATCCATTTGTGAATGACCTTGTTCATCATAAACTATCCAGACCTTGCCGGGCCAGGAGTTCTTCCTTTTGGATATATCTCAAGAAATTGAGCGAACAACAGCATCACTCCAATGTATCTTTATTCAGCCTATGGAGTACTGATAGAATATATTGACTAACACACACTCCACTACGGAAAAGAATATATCACACGGTTCTATTCGTGTAATAGGTAGATATTTAATTTTCCAAAAGCCTTCCGATAATCATGCCAGGAACAACTTTATAAATGGCTCTCCCCTGTCACTTGGAATAGGGCAGTATTTTTTAACAATTGAGTTAGTGCTCACCTATTAGGAGTTCCATCCAACGAGGTTTTAACTTCATTATTCCATTCAAATGAGCCCATGTTTTCTGTCTAGAGTATCAACTCAATGATGCATTAAAAAATTACCACTTTCTTTTTGGTGTAAGAAAATGCAACTCCATCTTATAGACTGTGGCAACCTAGATATTTCACCAAGATTAAGAAAATACATTATCTTTAGCTATTCCCCACCAAATCTTTACGTTATATTGAAAAAGTTTTTGTCCTTGAAATTACACAATGCAATCATAACCTTTTAAGTTTGAGAAAATTATAATTCCCACTTTCGTGATCATTAATCGCCAAGTTTCCCACTGTATCAACAAATGATGTGTGAACTTCAGATCATAAACATAACAAACCTAAAATGGAGATGATAACAATATTCCCACCTCCTCTTAATTATTAGAAATTCAATACCAATTGATTGCCTCAGGAATAAGGATTTAAAATTGTACTTATGAAATGAGATTATTTAAAACGGTCATAACACTTCGAACCGGATGCCAAAAATTTCTGGACCAACAAGCAACTACAATTTTCCCAAACCATATTGCACGTGGAGATTGTTTCAAGCCCATAAACGAGATCGATGTAGTCGACATTACCAAACCAGACTCCCCCCTGAGCACAAAAACCAGGAGGTTGCTCCATATATACTTTCCTTCGGTCCAGTTCCCCATGCAAGAAAGCAATTTTTTTTATGTCAGTTGATGAAGAGGACCGATTGAATAGATAGCTGCCAAAGAAAAGAAGAAGAACAAACAGGGCTAATTTTGGCCACGGGAAAAGATGCCATATAAATCAAGGCCATAAACCTGTGTGTACCCCTTTGCCACAAGCCTAGCTTTCAACCTATCAATTTTACCATCTGGTCCAATTTTAACCGTGTAAACCCATCATTAGCCAACAGTGCTCTTCCCAGGAGGCAAAGAAACAAGTTCCCATGTACCATTATTATGCAAAGCAGTCATCTCTTCAGTCATAGCAGCAGACCAACCAGGATGGTTAAGCGCTTCACTGACACTCTTAGGGATAGAAACGGTAGACAATGTCGACACAAAGGCATAATATGAAGACGGTGATAGCTCAAAAAATTGTAAATAGGATGAGAATTACGAGTGGAGCGAATACCTTTGCGAAGGGCAATGGGAGCATTTTCTGCTTCTGTGTTTGGCACAACCGGTGCAGGAGATGAGATTGGAATAGGAGATGAGTCACTAGGCTGTATATCTGCATTCAAAACAGGATTAGTAGTAGGACGACGAGAATAGACCTGAAGAGGATGAGATGTAGCTGGAGGAAGAATAGGAAAGGGGAGAACATTGGAAACAGATTGTTCAAGCTCTGGCTGTTTAGAAAAATAAGGGGTAGTTTCAAAGAAAGTAACATCAAGTAACATCAGCGGAGATAAAGAACTTGGAAGAGGATTGGGGGTCATAACAACTTGGAACCCTTTCTGAAGACGAGGATACATCCCTAAGAAAAAATGCACGTTAATGGGACTAATGGACTTTGGTAGAAGCTTGTCCCTGCTAGGGGTATGATCATGAACAAAACAAGTACTCCCAAAAACACGAAGTGGCAGATGAAAGGGGTCCTGTTTGGGAAACAAAACAGAATGGGGACTTTGATTCTGTAAAACAGAAAAAAGCATCCTGTTAATAAGAAAACAAGCAGTAAGTACGGCATCCCCCTAGAAATGAAGTGGGACTTGATTATGAAGAAGTAATGTGCGTGCTGTTTCAATAAGATGATGATTCTTTCTTTCGGCAATTCCATTCTGTTGGGGTGTATAAGCACAAGAAGATTGATGGAGAATACCCTGAGAAGACATAAACTCATTAAGAATTTCAGCACAGAATTTTTGAAAGATAGAGAATAGTTCAGAACGACTTCATGAGAAACACCCATGTACAACGAGAATAGTCATCAATAAAAGTAACAAAATAATTAAATCCCAGAATTGTACTAACACAACTAGGACCCCAAATGTCTGAATGAACAATAAAAGTAACAAAATATTTAATCCCCAGGAATTGTACTACACACTAGGACCCCCATGTTCTGAAATGAACAATATCAAACATAGCCCAAAGCTATTATTTGACATCTTAGGAATTGAACACGAGATTGTTTTCCAAGTTGACCAGATTTCACATTTCCAAAAACACTTTAATTGAAGATTAAGTAGGACTTTAAATGTTTAGTTAGAAGACTAGGATGACCAAAACGGTTGTATAGAGCTTCAGCGGAAGCAGTAGAAGCTAATGTAATAGTGGCTTTCAAAGGGATAATGTTTAATACAAGCCATGTGACTTATTCCTATTCCAATCGTCTTACCCCGTATTGCGATCCTGCACCAACACCATAGATTAGCTAATGAAAAAGACATAAATCAGCTGTTCGGTTATTTTTGTAACGGAATTAAATTATAAGGACAGCAGGGGTGTATAAGACAGATTGTAAAGTTACTGATGGATAAGTTGAACGTCCCAATGCCTTTAACTTTGTTTCTGAACCATTAGGCTAAGTGACTTGCTGGAATGAGTCTAGAGTAGGAATGAGAGTACGAGAACAATGTTTCATTACTAGAAATGTGTCCGGAAGCGCGGAATTCAAGTATCCCAAGGAGCACCATTGAGGATGAGACAACAAGCAACTTGAAGTGCTGAGTGCTGTGACTAGTGAATGTGTGAGCTTGTTTGTTTGCTGCCTGGAATTGGGCATATTCTTGCATATTTCTGATCCTGTCAGAGGTGGATGCAGTTGCTTGATGTACCAGGCAAAGGGAATTCCAGCATTCATTACTCCGAACCATAATGAGCTGGCAAGTCGTCCGTCGAGCCAGTACCAGCAGGATTGATTCTGAGACGGTTTACTATGTTTAATTTATCACAGGTTTCCGCGTAATGTCCCGGTTTATCACATAAGCTGCAAGTGAACCTTAATACTAACCTTTCCATTTTTTATTACTATTCTGGACAGCAAAAGCAGAGGCTTCATGTTAGGAGGTGCAGCTGGAGTGGTGGAAATACGAAGAAGTCGAGCAGAGATATCTTCTAAGGTAGGAACAATGGAACCAGTCAAAATTTGATCTCGAACAGAGCTAAGATCAGGTCGAAGGCCGATTAGAGCCAAGACCATAAAAAACTTGTCTCTTTGTTTTTCTTGTTCAGCAATATTCTCTATGAAAGGCATAATGGAAACAAACTCATCATGTCTCAACTTGCCCAATGTAACTATCCATATCCATTTGATTTTGCTGCAAATGGACAATATTAGAGACAACATTGTAAATTCGTTGTATATCATTGGTATACAATGTTTTGGCTTTTGTCCAGACTTTACAATAGGTTTTACAGGACTGAAAAAGAGGAAGTAATTTGGGATCAAGAGTATGCCATAATAGGCTACACAACTGAGCATCAATTTTAATCCATGTAATCGTTTGCAACGATTATGCAACGATATCAATAGATTCTTTATAAGTATGTCATCATATTTCCTTGGACCTAAGAACCATAGCTCAAATAGAATTGCACCAGAAATGTACAAGAAATGTAATTGCTACTGCCTTGAAGTATTACAGTAGTAATACCTGTAGAATTAGGAAGAAGAGACTCGATTAGACCTGATTCAGCCATATTCAGTAGCAGAACAGCGAAGAGGAAGGTGGCAGAATCTGTTGACGGCGTGTGGCTGACGACAGCGAGGATTTCGGTGACGCGACTTGGTGTCTGAGGTCGCCGGTCACTGGGTAGGCCTGGGATAGTGGCTGTGACTATAGAAGAGAGAGAATAATAGGGTAATTGGAAATCCCTTAGAAGAGAGAAAGAGAAAAGAAGAAGAATGTATTTAGGCCCTTTGTTGGCTCTGATACCATGTGAAGAAGAAGAATGAGAGGAAATATTGACACACGCCCCACTAATGCTAATATAGCTACAGCAACATTACGCTGGATACAGCTAAAACAGTAGTGAATAAACAAACATGGAGCTGAGATCCCAAATAATCTGCTAATGATATGCTAATTATAGCTCCTAATCTCAGCAGCTAATTACAACTAATTACAGCTGTAATACAGCTAAATACAGTAGCTAATCATAACAATATCTATGGATAAGACACCTATGAATGAAGAGGTCCCTTCTTAAATTTCCAGTATCTTTAATGCTCCAAATGCTTAGTAGTTAGCTTCTATGTACCTAGTCTATGCAATTGTGGAACACTATTGACATTCTCTAGATTAGAACCTTGAAAATATATATATTATGTAGTGTCAACCTATTCCTCAAAAACTGGACACCAACCAACACTATTCAGGATTTGCATTTACACATAAATCTCACCTTAAGGTAAGTTGATTTTTCTTCCTCAAAATTGCCAATCACTGAATCTCCTGAAGGGTCTATCTCAAGTGAGTGCCCTTGGCAACTGTGAAGCACTGAATATCATTCTCTTCCCTTTAATGAAGCTAAAAGAAATCAAACTTTTGGTTACCAGTTCTAATTTAAACACTAAAAACTGAGCACATAATAATATAGTGCTTTACATTGCTGAAATAGGTCAAGCTCTACAAAAGCTACCGGTGGTGCACAAAACCTTTACCTATATCAGTCCTAGTTTCTACCCTTTGAACTTTTCTGGATGGCTATCTTGCTGAAGCCACACTGCTATCAATTTTCCTGGTCATCTTTGTGTTGTTCTTTTCAAGATGCTCCTAGGAAATTTACACAAAATAATCAATCCTTATTAACTTCTTGTGGAGGGTTCATGCTATCTTAAGCATTACACTCTGCATGACTGCATGAGTGTTTGTCAAATCAGGGGTGTAGTAAAATTTTTTTCTTCGGTGGTTACCGTTATACATCATCTATGCTTCATGGCTGCCATTAAATCATAGAGGGAGATTGTTGTAATTTTTTTAGCAGTTTATCTGCTCAAATGAGACCAAATTATCCATAAAGCAGGCAGCTTTGGACCACTACATATTATTATTTTTAAATGGTTTTGATAAGTGCACTTCTTTTTTGAATTAAAAAACTTTTTTGTAATTTATTTCATGATAACTAGAGCCTTCTATTTGCGTTATATCTGAGCTAACATTTGCTTTATGAATTTGTCCTCACTTTTCAGTTCTTTTCCCTCAGTAATTGCTTTTTTCTCTTATACCTATGTCTTTGTGCAGGTTTTGGCTGATAGTGTGGGCATACCATGCGGGCTGGTAAAAGGTCATCAGTACACTGGTTCTGATGATGTGGCCATGAATTTTGTAAAGATGGATGATGGAAGGTAATTGCAGTTATGAGTTTCTACTTGCTACTTATATGTTTCTTTTGGTGGTGATAACCATTTTCTTTCTTTTTCTTTTTCTTGTTATTCCTTTAAATTCAGCTGGATTTTTCTTTAGGATTTAGTTCACTGTTTGCTGCATCAGAACATGATCTATCATGCAAATGTGAGCTGCTGTACTCAAATGCTCCTTTTCATTATTTTTTTAAAAAGTAGATGAGGCTATTCAATCATAGTTCTAGAAACCAATAATTTCCTGTTCTTATATGGGGTTCTTTGGAAAGACAACATATTTATATTAGGGGTTTCGAGGTTTTGTATGAATATATATAATTTGAAACATCAAACTACTTAAGGGGATGTGTAACATGGTTTCAGGGAATACATCGTTGATCTGATGGCAGATCCTGGCACACTTATTCCTTCTGATATGGCTGGATCACAAATAGAATATGAAGAGCCTTTTTTTTCTGCCAGTCCTTTTTCTCGGGACATGGACTCATCTCATATAGCTTCTTCTAGTAGTGGAGTAGCAAGTTCCTTTGAAGAACATTCGGATGTTGGGACATTGGAGAAGAGATCAAGATCCAGGAATGTTGCTACTGCTGGTAACGAATCTGATAACAGGGGTGACTTTCACCACGTCACAAATGTAAGTGAGCCAATTAAAGGTGAAGAAGAATCCAGGATGCCCTTGGACAATTTAAAGAAATCCTCCAATGTAGATAAGGTGCTTATGCGGGAGGGTCCTGGGAGGCCTAATTATCCTTATGCACATACAAAATCTCCTTCATGGACGGAAGGTGTTAGCTCTCCTGCTGTACGCAGAATGAAAGTGAAAGATGTTTCACAATACATGATTGATGCTGCCAAAGAGAATCCGCAGTTAGCCCAGAAACTTCATGATGTATTACTAGAAAGTGGTGTTGTTGCTCCCCCAAGCTTGTTTACTGAAATTTATTCTGAGCAGTTAGACGTATCAACTACTGAGGCCAAGTCCCCTACAGAAGATAAGGATGACTACAAACGGAAGAGTGAGACCCGTCATATGAAGGATCAAGATGATCTTGGTCCTTCTCCTGCTCGATATTTGCCTCGTCTGCCTCATCACAGAGTGCAGTCTAAAGCAAGTCCTGCTTTTAACCAACCAGAGCAACTTAAACCTGAGGATGGTTTAACAATCAACCATCCTTTTGATATGAGGGAGGCTACTGGACAACCAATGCCATTGCAGACTGAAGCAACTTCTGTGAGTTATGCAAAAAATGTTCCTGTTGCTGCAGCAGCAGCTGCTGCCGCTGCTGTTGTTGCATCTTCTATGGTTGTTGCTGCAGCAAAGTCAGGCTCTGACTCAAACCTTGAACTTCCTGTAGCTGCTGCAGCCACTGCTACTGCGGCAGCTGTTGTTGCAACCACTGCAGCTGTCAGTAAGCAGTATGAGCACTGTGCACGAAATGATGGTGATGCAGATAGTTCCAGTTATGAGCCACGAGGTAGTGGGGACCGTGGTAGTGGTGGCAAACAATCCGATGCTTTTATGGAAAATTCAGAAGGTGAGAGACTATCTGATAGATCAGCCGGTAATAATAGCTCGAAGTCTGACGCAGGATTGGATGATGTTGCTGAATGTGAGATTCCCTGGGATGAAATCACCTTGGGTGAACGCATTGGACTTGGTACTGACCTATGCATTCGCTATGAATTGTAAACTTTATTATAGTTTTATATCCAGATATAGTCTAATTATTTTCTTGCATCATTTGTTTTGCAGGATCATATGGAGAAGTATATCGTGGAGACTGGCATGGAACTGTGGGTATTCTCATGTCAATTAAATTTGTTCATCTCTTTTCTCTGCATATTTGTGCCGGATTATTAATTAATGGTTCTTAAAAAACCAGTTTTGCATTTTGGTCGTGACTAACCAACATCAAGATTGCCAGAAAATTTGTGACTAAATTTTGAAGAATTCTCTTCTTTGAAGAGCTGGCACCGCTCACTATGCGGCCCAGTTTTAAGCAGGGCACTCCCATTAGCCTAGGCTGCTCCATTGAAAAATAAGTGAGAAGGCTGTCTGCTGGCAGTTTTATTTAATTGGTTTAAATACAACACAAAAAAATTGGGATCCAACTGCTATTAGCTTCCTGAAGAACGTAATAATTGACTTTTTACCTGATTTACAAAAGCACAAGAAACTTTTCTTTTCCAAACTTTTGAGAACATTTTCTATGGGGAATCAGGAAATTATATTTCAAAATTCTCTTAAATTCTCTGGAGGAGATTGGTTTTGGGATTAGGAATCCTAGAAAACAGGTTTCACATGGGGAAAAGTTATGGCGTTGCTCAAAGTTGAACATTGGAGAGTCATTTGTATTAATGGATCATAGATAAAATAGACCAACTGAATGGGACTGCTAATAATTCTAATTATTTTGTTTGCAATGTTTAGAGGCAATGGATTGACCATGTTGCCCTCTTGTTTTCAATAGGAAGTGGCTGTGAAGAAGTTCTTGGACCAAGGTATTTCTGTTGAATCACTTGAAGAATTCAGAAGTGAGGTACAAGCCCCTCTTTGTTCTTTATCCTACTTTTTTATCTTTGGTCTGTCTACAAGGTATGAATGGATATTTCTACCATAGTGCTTTTGTTAAAGATGCTCAACCTTGTGGTAGTGTCTATCTAGTCAAATGGTGCTGTATCTGGGCTATACGCAGCATGTGCCTGTTATTTCTAAACTATATGATATTGTGAAGCATCCTAGATATGTGAACCATGGTTGATCTGTCACTATAAGCATTAAGATTAATGGTCACAGAGAACAGTGACACTAACATGGGTAGATATTCTTAAATCTTAATGCTCACAGCAACAGTTTTGCAGGTTGATATTATTGTTACGTATATATATTATTTTCCATATTCGGGTGCATCATAAGTTCCACAACTATCAATCCTCTAATCTTTGGCGAAGGCAGAAGTCTCTCCAGGATCTACAGTACACCCATTCTCAATAAGTTGGGGCTAAATTCTATAACCTTAGGATAGAGTGTTTTGTTGGATGTGACATGATGAAATTGTTTCGAAGCGTGAAGGATGATATGCTTTGCCTGTCTGGTGAAATATTTATAAATTTGCTCCCAATTGTTATTTGCCTCAATTCTGTGGTCTTAAATGATGAGACTGTAGAATATTATTAGATTAATTCTGCAGATCTCATTGGACAAGTTCATTAGAATTTTTTACATTATTTCCCCAAATATTATGCTATAGCCCTGTTACATTTCATATTATATCTTACTTGCTGAATTTTTATGTTTGGATGTAATTTTAGGATGTCTTATTATAATATGCTTCAAGCATGATAAATTTTTGGAATTCAGTCAATTTACTTTTGAGTTTGAAATTCTAGGTTAGAATCATGAAAAGGCTCAGACATCCCAATGTGGTTCTCTTCATGGGAGCAGTAACTCGTGCCCCAAATCTTTCCATTGTTACAGAATTTCTTCCTAGGTAAATTGCCACTTTGTTTACTCCCATTCATGTTGCTTTTTAACAATATATATTATGGATGCCAAAATTTTGGGATCTTTCTAAAAGGAACAATGTGATTTAATTATGTGCCATGAGGCAGAAACAACATAAAAAAGTCTTTAGGGCTAATCAAAACCTTCCTGTGAATGTAGTGTAATGCAATGTGTACTATGACTAAGTATTAGCTAAGATCCCTGTCCTATTACAAAGCATTCAGATTCTTAAGTATGAAATTTAGCAGAATGAATGACTTGCAATATCTAAACTCTTTTAACTGGGATGGACTTCCTAAGATTGTGATGGGTTATCGAAATTCTAATGATTGAACAATATTAGTTTTTGGATTTTCTTTGTAGAACAGCTCGTCTATGGTTATAACTGTGCATGTGTTTCATTTATATTAAAGTCTACTTGGAACTCATAATGTTAATAATTATTTTCTTTTGTGATATTGAATAGATTCCCACTTAAGTTTCATACTCACAATAACTAACAATAGCTTACAGTGCCTCATATTCTAAGTTGAAGTTTTCATTTTCTTTGTCTAATATTTTGCATTAATTCATGGCACATGTTTTCAGAGGTAGTTTGTATAGATTAATTCACAGGCCTAACAATCAATTAGACGAGCGGAGGCGTTTGAGGATGGCCCTTGATGCTGTATGTTTTAACATCCTTGTCTTGTTCCGATATTACTAAGCATGGTTGTCCTGTATTTTATGAATTCATTAGTTAGTGTTTCTATTTACATGATTAAACTTTCAGGCTCGGGGAATGAATTATTTACACAACTGCACTCCAGTGATAGTACACCGTGATTTGAAGTCCCCAAATCTTTTAGTTGATAAAAACTGGGTAGTGAAGGTACCCTTTATATTGTTAGACAGACTGGGAAACTTTTGAAATGCCCTTTAATACTTTAACTATCCAGCAATGACATTCTAGTTTTTGATTGCCCTCAGGTATGTGATTTTGGGCTATCAAGAATGAAGCACAGCACATTTCTTTCTTCAAGGTCAACCGCAGGGACGGTAAGTTGTGCTAGTATTTGACCCTTCTCTCATAATTTTGGATTTCTACCATTTTATTGGGTTGTAATCATTACTTTGTAGTCCATAAATAAGGTATTTTTTGCATCATCCTCCAGGCTGAGTGGATGGCCCCAGAAGTGCTGAGAAATGAACCTTCAGATGAAAAGTATGCAATTCTCTTCCCCACTTCTTAATCCACCTTTTTGGACCCCTGAATTTTCAAATGATAATACAAATTGAACATCTATATGTAGGTGTGATGTTTATAGTTTTGGGGTTATACTATGGGAGCTCTGTACAATGAAGCAACCATGGAGTGGAATGAACCCAATGCAAGTTGTTGGTGCCGTTGGATTTCAACAACGCCGACTTGACATTCCAAATGATATGGATCCTGTCATTGCTGATATTATTAGGCAGTGCTGGCAAACGTGAGTATTTGTCTCTTATGCCGAATATTCTGGATGCACTTCTTTCTATTATGTTTTTCTTAAACTGTAGATTCTGTGACTTTTGCCAAATATTATTGGTTGCTTAATCTTATGTGAAAGTAGGTAACAACATATGTTACACGATTTGGTTTCCGTTTCCGTGTTTCGGAAATGTTTCCTGCACGGAAACGTTTGGAAACTCCTCGAAATGTTCAAGGATGTTTTCGTTGTGACGGATTGAGAAAAAATTGTTGTAATTTCATTAATGAGAAAGATAAGTATATATACAAGTGATACCTAAACTATTTAGGATTATAAAACCTTAGACTACATAGGAGTAAATCCTAAGATCATGCTATGTACAAATGGGACTACTAACTTTCCTTAACACTCTCCCTCAAGTTGGAGCATAGATGTTTATCATGCCCAACTTATTACAGATATTGTCAACACGAGAACCATTCAAAGCTTTTGTGAAAACATCTCCCAATTAGTCTCCAATTTTAATATGATCTGTGGAGATAAACTTTTCTTGAATTTTATCCTGAATGAAATGACAATTAATCTCAATATGCTTGGTACGTTTATGAAATGCTGGATTAGAAGCAATATGAAGTGCAACTTGATTATCACACCATAATTTAGCAGGTAATGAAGACTAAGACCAGCTTCATTCAATAGTTGATTCACCCATACAATCTCACACAGATTGTGCATGGCTCTATACTCTGATTTTGCACTGGACCGAGAAACCACATTTTGTTTTGTATTGACAAACTTGCTGAATTTCAATAGAATTTCAATAGAAATCTGCTTCCATTCCCTCAAGCTGATTGGGTTATGAAATTGCTGGATTAGAAGCAAATATGAAGTGCACTTGATTATTCACACCCATAATTTAGCAGCGGTATGGAAGACTAAGACCAGCTTTCATTCAATAGTTGATTTCACCCTACAATCTTCACACAGTTTGTTTGCATGGCTCTAATACTTCTGATTTATTGCCACTTGACCGAAGAAACCACATTTTTTTTTGTTACTATGACCAAACTTGCTTGGAATTTCCAAATAGAATATTCAATTAGAAATTCTTCCATTCCCTCAAGGCTATTCGGTGTTTTAAAATAGGACCGAACGTATATCACAAAATTCTTATATTGCGGAATAATTCCTCTCTCAATCCTTAGTTTGATGCCATTGACTCCTAATTATGGTAACCAATTCAGCCTTAAGTTAGCTCCATAATTGAATTTGGGAATAAATTCCTAAATTACATCCTTAGTTGATGCCCATTGACTCCTAATTATGGTAACAATTACAGCCTTAAGTAGCTCCCTAATTGATGGTTATTTACAGCTATCTTACAACAGTATAGTCAATTAATTATAATAGTATACTAACATGACTTCTCCATGAAACCAAATTTTCTTCAACAAAAACACAATATCTAGTTGTAGATCTCCTATCAACTTTAGATCTTGCCCAATTTGCATCTGAATAACACTCAATATTAGAATGTCCATGATTTGATTATAACATATCTTGTCTTGGAGCTGCCTTTAAATAACATAAGATCTATTCTAAGGCTGCCCAATGATTTACTGTTGGATTAGACATGAATTGACTTACAACACTCACTGAATATGCAATATCATGACGAGTCATTGTAAGATAATTGAATTTTACCAACCAGTCTCTCAGGATCTTTAAACAATTCACTATCCTCTTTTCAGAGTTTCAGTGCCATGGGTGTATTACACGGCTTAACACTTAATTTTTCTGTTTCTATCAACAAGTCAAGAACATAGTTTCGTTGGGATAAAAGAATACCTTTCTTACACCTTACTACCTTAATACCTGAGAAATACTTAAACAAACTCAGATCTTCTGTCTGAAATTGAGAGTGAAGAAAGGATTTTAGGGATGTTATGCTTGTAGTATCATTACCAGTAATAACAATATCATCAACATATACTACTAACAGAATTATGCTGTCCTTAGAATTTCTATAATACTGAATGATCACACTTATATTTTTGCATTCCAAATGTTTGAACTGTCTCATTAAATCTACTAAACCAAGCACGGTACTCTGTTTTAACCTATATAATGATTTGTGAAGATGACAAACTTTCCCATACTCCCCCTGAGCAACAAACCGAGGTTGTTGCTCCATATAAACTTCCTCATACAAATCACCATACAGAAAAGCATCAATGTTAAGCTGATACAAAGGCCAATCACAAGTTGCTGCTAGAGAGATAAAGATACAAACCGCAGCAAGCTTTGCCACTGGAGAGAAAGTATCTGAATGATCAGCACCACAAGTCTGAGCATACCTTTTGACTACAAGGCAAGCTACAGAGCCATTAGGATTAACTTTCACAACAAATAACCATTTACATCCAATAGTGGTCTTCCTAGTAGGCAAAGTTATTAAATCCCAATTACCATTGACATCCAAAGCCGCCATTTCTTCTTCCACAGTAGCTCGTCAACTAGGATGAGATAATGCTTCATGAACAATTTTAGGAAGGGAAATAGAATCTGAAGACACAATGAAAGAGCTAGAAGAAGAAATGTGGTCATAAGAAACAAAAGAAGAAATAGGTAAGTACACTAACGTTTACCATTTCTAAGAGCAATAGGAAGATCAATGCTAGGATTAGGAGGATCTGGAATGGTAGGAATTGGATTCGATGATAAAGAGTCTAGCGGCAGGCATGAGTTAGGAGCCTCTAACCTGCGAGAATAAACATGAATAATTGGAGGAGGTTTAGTAGCTGTTGATGTGGGTGCTTGTACTGGTGGAGGTTCCAGAAAAAGATTAGGTGGATTAACAGGTTGAGAGATGGTATAGACTAGAAGATTATCCTCCTCTCCTTGACTATTTAAATAGGAGAGGACGGAAAGAAAGGATTAGACTCTAAGAAAGTGACATCAGCAGATACAAGATAACGATTAAGAGTTGGAGAAAAACATTTGTAACCCTTTTGAAGTCTAGAATATCATACAAAGACACATTTAAGGGATTTGGATCAAGTTTGGTAATATGAGGACGAACATCATGAACAAAATAAGTACATCCAAAAATACGAGGTTCAATAGGAAACATGGATTTAGATGGAAAAAGAGTAATATAAGGAATATCACCTTGAAGAACGAATTAATGCATATGATTAATAAAAAAACAAGCAGTGGAGACAACACCAGTCCAAAAAGGTTTAGGAACTTTCATTTGAAAAAGAAGTGCTCGAGCTAACTCAAAGAGGTGGCTGTTTTTTCTTTCTGCAATCCCATTTTGAGAAGGTGTATCAACACATGATTTTTGATGCAAAATGCCATTTTGTGTCATATAACTTTGAAACATTTCTGAAAAGTATTCTTTAGTATTGCAAATACGTAATCTTTGTATAGAAACATTAAATTGTGTTCTTATTTCAGCACAAAAGATAGGAATTAATTTGGATTAATTCTTCATTAAATATAACTAAATAACTTGAGAATAATCATCGATAAAAGTTACAAAATATCGAACACCAGATTTGGAGGTAATAGAACAAGGATCCCAAACATCAGAATGAACTAATTCCAAAAGGGACATAGCCCATTTATTGACTCGAGATAGAGAAGGTAACCTATGATGTTAAGCAAATTGACATGACTCACAATCTAAAGAAACTAAAGACTGGAATTGTGGAAATAACTTCTTCAAAATGGATAAAGGAAGGATGGCCTAATTGACAATGCACCTCAAAAGGAGATAGAGCACGAGCACAAGCAAGAGAAAATGGTACTTGTTCATCAAGTGGATGGAGACTGCTAGACTCACGTCCTGTACCAATAATCCACTTTGGCGTAAGATCCTGAAACATACAATAGTTAGGATAAAATTTGATGCAACAATTTAATACTCGGGTAGTTTTGCTCCAATCCAAATAATTAGAGCCGTTATGTTTGTTTCTATGATTTTATTCATTGTTGGAACCACATCTTTATTACAGCCTTCTATTCAGTAGTCCCCATAATGTTTAAATAGAAACACACATAAATTGTAAAAACCACAATAGCAGAAAATACCATAGAAAATACCAGACTCTCAACTGAACCCACTTTCCAAACCAAAGAGCAGCAACCAAATAGCAGTAGCAGCAAGACACTTGGGTGTCGAAAAGAGAAAAAAATAAAAAATAAAAACTGAATGGAAATGCAGAATCACACAGGAACTCAGAAACTGAATAGTAGTATACCAAACCAAAAAACAAAGTATATGGATGTCCAGAAATTCAAAACAATTAATGGGATAAACTTCCCTGTCCAAGTCAACACCGGAGAAGGAAGTCTTAGCCGATGATATCTCCACAGATCATTCCTCTGATTTAGGAACAGATTACAATTAATTTCCTGTAATTAATCTCTGTAATTCCTTTCCATATTCTGTTTGTATTCTCCCTATTTAAAGGGTCTTGTACATCAGAAACAGATTACAATTAATTTCCCTGTAGCATTCCTCTGATTTAGGAACAGATTACAATTAATTTCCTGTAATTAATCTCTGTAATTCCTTTCCATATTCTGTTTGTATTCTCCCTATTTAAAAGGTCTTGGACATCAATACAAAATCATCAAGAATTCAAAATCCTCAAACACTTTCATGGTATCAGAGCTTCAGTTCTGAATTCCCTCCCTCTCCTTTCTCTCCCATATTTTTTTTTAGCTGCTGCCGCCGATAGCCATGACACAAACAGAAGTCCCATCTTCGACCTCCAACCCTAAAACACCCACCCCCATTCACCCTGCCTACTTGCCTACTCTGTGACTATACATCCAATCAAAAAATAAGAACCACTAGATGGTAGGCACAGTTGACATACACATCATGGTGTAGAATTAGTTCAAGGTTTCATTCTATTCTGCAATACCGGTGTTCTCTGAATTCACTATTGATGACACGCCACCATGGCCATCCACAGCCCCTCTACATGATCACATTATAACAG